AGTCCAGAAGCCGGCAACTGATCTGCCTCGCCCGGGAAGAGTGCAATGATGGTGCCAACTTGGGCCAGTGAAGCAACGTCCTCTACAACTAGACTGAAGAACAAAACAAAATAAAGCAACTTGTCTGTTCCCTTCCCTGATTCACCAGCGTTGTTCCTCTCCCCCAATTCCCCAATAAAAATCTTAAAAAATCAAAAAAAAAATCAAGTATTAACAAAGACTGTTTTTTCGGTTAAGTTATTCCATCAAACACACTTAGCTTACAACAGAACCAATGCAGGTGACACAAAGTTTATTGGGCAAAATTCATAATTTCTTTTCTGCTACCTTTTTATTAAGTTCTAGCCATAACATTTATAAAGTGGAAAAATATTTTGTGTTATTTTTTATGGGGAGAAGTCTTAAATACCCACCAAACTCCCAATTACAATACACTCAAAACTTGTCAGTTTCTAACTGGTAGTGGGAAGCAGACACATAACAGTGAGTAAATCCCAGGTTCACTTTCTCATTCATTATCCAACATATATTTACTAAGCAATGACCATGCCAGGCACTATGCCAGGCAGAGAGTAGTGAAAAAAATAAACATGGTCCCTGCCTTGACCCATGTCTTGGTTTGTAGTCTCAACTCTCATTAACCTTAGGCAAAGCACTTATTTCTCTGGCCTCAATTCCCTCATTTAACAAATGGTAACATGAGATACCATATTTCCCCATGTATAAGACGCACCCTTTTTCGAAAAATTTGGGGTCTAAAAACTGGGTGCATCTTATACAGTGGTTGTAGATCATTGTCAAGTCATTTAAGAAATGTGGCATTTCAAATGCCATAGATGGAACTGAGGACGAGGCAATATATGAAGACAGTGATTCGTCATCAGACATAGATGAGGACAAGCTAGTGGTTGGGAGTTTTGACAGTGATGAAGAGTTGTATGAATTTTATGATGAATAAAACTTGAGTTCAATAACTTTATGTAATACTTTTTTTCAAATTTCGGGCCCCAAAATTAAGGTGCATCTTATACATGGGAGCGTCTTATACATGGGGAAATACGGTAACATTACTATTTTACATTTATCTCAGTGAACTATTCATAAAATATCTCATCTGAGCCTCACAAGTACCCTGAGAGTTTGGCAAGACAGGCATCACTGACCTCTGAGGTCCCTTTAAGGTCTAGCATTCCATGATTCTACAACCATTCCCTGAGGAGGACAAGCTGGAGTTAGGGAGCTTCTTACAGAGAAAAGCACAGGTTTTTTTGGAGCTTCAAGAGTCCTAAAGGACAGTATCTCAGACAATTTCTTAAGTGAAAGAATAAACAACTGTGTTCCTTGTTCAACACAGCTATGCTCACCCTGAAGATGATTTATTACTTAAGAAAACAGGAGAGGCGCTGGACTTACCATCAGAGGAGGGTGGTGTGGTCCCAAGGGGTGTGACAGGGGTTGTAGGAGCAGGACTGACAGGGGTTGTCACCAAGCCCATTTCTGGGTGACTCTGAAACAGAACAGATGGGTCAGAAATGAGGAAATCCAGTTCCGAGTACCCTTTGCTTAATTTCTTATCTGGTATTCCTGGCCTCATGGACAGAAAGGTCACTGAGGAGAGACTGCTTCTACATTTAGTGCTCATGACTACCTGATTACTGTTGATGCTTGCTAAATTCCAGTAAGAAGCTCTGTGGGCTAGTTTATTTAAGCAGCTAAGTTCCCATTATATAAGTATTTCTGTAGAACCAAGCAAATAAAAAACTGGAGTAAACAAATACACAGGATCATTCTACCAAAAGAAGGGGGTGGGGGGCATTTGCAGTCCTATCTGAACCCGGGAAGGGACTACTCTCATCACATCAACCTAAAATACATCTATAGACTATTCTGATGACTACGCACATAGTTGACAATAAATGCAGGTGAGCCAAGGGGATCACAGGTACTATAAAAAGAGCTATGCAAAAAAAAAAGCACTATGCAGATGGCAGCCTTCCTATTTCACAACAAACAAGAGTGTGGGGTGGGGAGGTGAAGACATGGGGGAGATACCACTGGGGACCAAAACAGATGACTCCTCTGTCCCTGACCTTCCTTAGTCGTCCCTGCCACATCAGCTCTTGAGAAGTAAGCGAAGTGGCAGCTGCTCCCTTCTCTTCCAGCCTCTCACCTTCCTTTAATATCAGTTACAGAATTCAGACAGCAGACAAGGAACACAGTCAGAATGATAAACAAAGTCTTATCAGTCTTGAAAAACAATGTGTCCTCCTAAGCAGAGCCCAAACCAGCACACTGCTTTTTAAGCATGGCATATTTTTTTGTGTTAAATTCAATCAGTGGATCCCATACACATCTGCCCTTGGAGAAAAAAGCATAAGCAAACTTTCCTTTAAAAGAAACCTCATACATATTTTAAACAGTCTGGCTTTAAAATAAAAACACGTTATCAGTTTTTTAGGACAGCTTTCATGGACAGCACTGGAGTTCTCAGTGCATTTTAGTCCCCTTCTATACCAACTGCTGAGGCTATCCCTCAGGCAAATGACCCAGCACTTGGTATTCTATGCTTTCAGTATATGTAGACCATTTCTTCTGGTAACAGCTAACCTTATGTTGGACAGGATATTTTTTACTTTTCTTCTCTGGAAATCGGTGAGATAATAAGATAAGTGACTTGGCCTATTTTATCTACGGTTGTAATTCCACAGTGGTTTAGAAAACAGAAAGCCTGATATAAAATTCCATATGGGCAGATAATACGAAGGGATTTCCGGTGAGCCAAATGAACTAATCTCAACTCATTTAGGTTAACAGAATCAGTAAAAACCATTAACTTTGCATGTTATCAAACCCACTTCTGCACCAGATGGAAACATACATATTTGAGGGTAGCGCGAAGCAAAGGTAACTAATGCAACTCTTTGTTACTACCACTTACCAATGCAAAGCAGGACGTAACAGGCAAAGCCAGAAGGGCTTTTCAATGGAGTGAATCTGTATGAACTTCAGGAAGAAAAAGGATGGGAGTTTTTAATATAACCAACCTGGGCTAACACTGTGATGAAGTTGCGATTTAAATGAACAGCTTCATAAAGTGCCAGAAGGATGGCCTCATTGGTTCTAAAGAAAAAGAGAACAAACTGAAGAGGCTCTTACAGTGGAGCAGTTAAAACAATATAACCATCAAGATAAGATTTCACCCCAGCTCATCATCAATCCCTCTGAGTTTCTATCGCTCCCTTTGTTTCCTTTCCTTATGTAAAGGGTATGTAGGCAAAGAGGAAGGGGTAAAGGGACTTTAATTCCTTAGTTCTTATCTATTTCATTCACTCTTTTCACTCGCACTTTTCCACCCCAATCTAGTTAAGTCTTTAACTGACTCAGATACCCGCCCACCTTCATTTCATTCCAGAGAGCTGGGAAGTTTTTCAGCTTCTCGGGGCTCAATACATGGCACTAAAGTAGAGGTTTCTAAGGGTCCATTACTGTTTAAAGCCCAAGAAACATTTGATAAATCACCAAAAAAGTCTGAATCTTTAAAAGATTAGCATGAGGTAACGTTTCACTCTCGTAGCCTGTCGGAGAGCCTACACTGAAGTACAAGTCACTGCACAAGAAAGTCAGGCACTTACTGTACTGAGATTTTCTCATGGGCATCTGCTATGAACATGCTGCCCACCTGTGGAAGAAAAGGGGAACTGCAGCCTTACAGCAGAAAAAAAAAAACGTAAGAGGAGCTCTGCCCAGGAAGCCTCGAATCAGTGAAAAAACAAGCGACTTGCAGCCCGAGGGAACTTGGAACTCTGGCCCACCAGTCACACACAGCAAAACCAGCCCATTTGAAAATCTTAAAAGAATCATAAGTAGTAAATGAAATAATGAGAACTCCACTAAATCGTCTTTTCTTAAAGGGACTTAAAAACAATCCTAGTACTTTTGTCCAGCTCTCTTTTTCAATGTGTAAGTTTAGTAACCACTGACAGGGAGTAAATGGTAACCTGGACATCTTCATAGCTCTCCATCTTTCCTGGAAGTTGCTTATTTGAAGTCAAAAACTAATTCACGAAGAACATCACAGAAAGCAGGCTGATTTTATCTAACACAGAGCTGTCTTCAGTGGAATATTTGGGTTTCAGACCAGAACTGTCTTTGAGACCTATTGTCCATCTTTCAGGTCACAAAATCTTTAGCCTTTTATCCCAGGCAGGGCAGCCGAATAAGTACATGGAGTAGGTTGCTTCCAATATGTGTGAAGAAGCACTGAGAAAGATACCCATCCCCCTAAAAGTCCCTTTCCACCTGCTCACTGATGTCCAAAGCTATGCAGCTGGAGCTCATTTGTTTTGTACAAAACTTTTTCTTCTTGGCTAAAAGGCAAAGATCCCTGAGCAATATAATTATATCTAATTCATTTAACCAAACACCAATACAGCGCTCATACTGCTCTGACCTCTGAGAGACTTATTTTATGCTTCAGAGTTAAAGAGTTTATCAAGTCCTTCCTGAGAGTAGGCGCTAAGAAAAAAAAGAAAGGGAAAAATGCATAGGCATTGGAGGGGAAAAAACTGCCGTTTGGGGGGTAGAGAGATGGCTGTTTCTTACAAGGAACTCAAAAATTTTCTTGCCCTAGGGCTGATTACTTGAATACTAATGCCCGAGGAGAAAGATTTTCTGAATCTGCCCAGATTCTAAGACCTGCTAGGTTTATCTCTTAAAAATCAGTCCCAGGTTATCTGGCCCAAAATGCCTACAATGCCAACCTTGCTCAGCAGTCTTGCAAACTGGACCAATAACTTTCCTAGACCATGGACCTCTCAGCCCATTAGAAGAGTGGCTCACATCCACTGCACCAATCCCTCTACTCCAGGACCAGTTATGAGGGACCAAGTGGCCACAGCAGACAGCCAAGGAGCACGCAGGGTTGGATTCAGATCTAAACCCTCCTATTCTGTGTTCCTCAGGGTCAAATCCTCAAACAAAGCCAACTTTTTAGAAAGCAAAAGTCTGGTTTATGTACATTTGTTATAGCTTTTAAAAACTGAATTAACTAATTTGGGGGGGGGGGAATCTGTCCCAGAGAAATCCAAGCTCTCCCTTCCCCTATGTCACTTAGGTTTGAAAATTACTAAAAGAAATATAGCTTTCAAAAAAAATCTGCTCTAAGCAGCCTCCCTCATCATGCCATCGCCTCAAACATCTGAACTTCTGAGTCCAGATTTGTCTACCTCTGCAGACCTCTTCCATTTCTGGGCAGGTGAGAAAAAAAACAAGTAGGACTTACCATATTTGTTAAAGCAGAGAAAAAACCGCTCTGGTGTTCTTCTTCCTTGTCTTTATACTGCCTGAACAAAAATAACTAAATTCAACTTCAGCATTATTTATCAAGTATGTCTTCGTCCTTGGCATTCTGGGTAATCAGGCAGGACACTTGCACAATTCACTGACTCCAGAAAACAAAAGCATTGACAGTCTAGTCACTGCAGTTCCCCCTGCAAGCTCAGAGGCACACATCTGCTCCTGAGGTGCTACGTACAAAAGTGCCTGGCTACTGTGGGAGAGACTTAGGAAGCAAGCTGGAAAAGTATGAAACTGCTCTAACATATGGCTGATCCAGTTATTTCCCAAACAGCCTATTACTTGAAAAGTGTGACAGAGAAATTACTTCAAGGCTGTAACACTGAAAATCTTGTTTGTTTTTGATGGAAGAAGACGGGAAATCTGTGAGCTAAAAGTAAACTATTTGCGGAGATGGGACAGGTTTGGAATTTCTACACCCAATTGTGTGTGAGGAAAGTCTGGAAAGAGGCAAGGAAGATCCTGCCTGGCCCTGGCCAAGATTAGGGACACTTCCGGTTTCCATTCACTGAATACCAGATCCTTCCCCATCCACAGCAGGAGGCAAACCAAGTCAATGAAGACAGCCCCCAGAACAGACAGGGACTCTGGGAAATCGCAGTTGATTCCTGATGAAAAAGACGCAAACTACAGCTAATTCAATGTTTTCTCCTTTTATTCTTTTTTTTTAAGCATACAAAAAAGCAATGCCTCGCAACCTTTTTTACATAGAATACAATATTTGTATGATATACTGGGCTAAATGGAAGAGCCTGCTTGTGGCTGGACTACTAGTTAAAATGTTCTGCAATAAAGTATAAAAGGTTGCAAAAGAATGTGCCTAATTGTTTAAAGAAAAGATGGACACTAACCTGATGGCTATTTTTCCTGGTGTTAGAAACAACCCCTGTTAAAGCCATCAAGCCCTTTTAGAGCAAATACACCTGCCAGCAGCTGTACCTCTGAATTCTCTTCTGGGATAGGTAGGGGAAGTTCACCCTACCAGCGGTTCTCAACCTGTGGGTCGTGACCCCTTTGGGGGTCGAACAACCCTTTCAATGTGGGCATATCTGCATGTGGGCCTGGAGATGGATAGAGGAGCGGTATCTCGGTTCCTAAGACCATCGAAAATATGTGTTTTCCGATGGTCTTAGGCGACCCCTGTGAAAGGTTGAGAACCACTGCGGCCTAGACACTCTAACAAACCTGTTTCCTACTCAGTCAATTCAAGTGAAAATTAGACCCTTCTCTTCTAGAAAGGTAGACTTACCTGTTATACTCAGATAAAGCCTGAGCAATCACAAGCCCCATTCCCTAGAAAGAAAAAAGAAAGCACAGGTGATTTAAGGGGCTGGTGGTGATGCTATGATGAGAACAGGCAGAACACTAATTACACCCCTGTGGTCCAAGTCCAAGAAGTTCTACCTGAAAGTTGACAACAAGGACAGAAATTCTGAAAGGCATTCTCACAACATCCAAAGGAACTTCTTCGGGTAGATTTTTCTGATCTAATTATCTCACTTACTGTTGCTTAATAGAGTGACAGGGGGTGAAACAAACCAGCCCAGATCACTGACAATTTCACTGGGATAATTTTTACCTCAGAAGAGAAGACTGAGTTAGAATCTTCAAACAAAAAACTCTCACATGTCTCTAAACCAACCACAATGAAAGTGACAATGAGTCCCATGCTAAAAGAAGGTGCACATAGACAAGCCACTCTCTTTCAGGCCACAGGAAAACAGGAGTGTAATGGGAAGAAACATTCAATAAATGTTAAAGTGATTTATCAACTCTCCCTCCAGAATCTTCTAAGCACAACACAAGGATCAAGTAAGGTTTGTGTGCTTTATTCATAAATAATCATGTGATGAACCACCTGTGCTTTATTCATAAAGGAAATTAGAAAAATGAAGAGGGCAAGATGGAAAGAGAATAAAGCCAGACACCTGGGTCATCTTCCTCCTCCCTATATTCAAAGATCAGATGCTATTTCCGAAACTTTCGACGACATATTGTAACAGATACGTATCATCGTCCATGTTTCAACTTGACCAAATCAGGCTATAACTACCATCTGGCTAGCTCCACAAGAAGGAATCTCCCACCCAACCCTTTTTTTTTTAATTATTTTTAATTTCAGCTTTATTGGGGTATAATGGACATATAAAATTGTAAGATACTTAAAGTGTATGCCATAAAGACTTGATATACCATCTAAGCCTTCTTATTCTTGGAAATTTAACTTATTGATTCTGTAGGACAGTCAACCTGAGCACAGTAGAACATGAAATATAACAAACTATTTCAGCATGATTAGCAAGCAAATGTCCCCTCAAATCTTCCTTCCATGACAAGGAGATAGAATACAATAAGATAGTTGCACTAACACTCTAAAAAGAAACACCAATTCCCTCTTCATAGCCAGATGAAATTAACACAATAGCTCTCTGCTCTCTGTTCTAAATATCCACTGTAAGTAAGTCCACCAAATGCAAGTAATTAAAACAACACACAGGGGCGGCTGGTTAGCTCAATTAGTTAGAGCACAGTGCTCATAACACAAAGGTTTCCGGTTCAATCCCCACGCCCTCCACAAGTAGATCGAAACAACTACTTGACTTGGAGCTGATGGGTCCTGGAAAAACACACAGTTCCCCAATAAAAAAAAATAAAGAAACACACAAAGATCCAGATACTCACATTGAGCGTGACCTCATCATCCACAATAGACAGCTTCACAATATAAGGATTTACAGACTGTTGAAGAAAAGAGACTCAAGGTGAGTGTGGCCTACATAAGAACCCATTAACTATTTAACAAAGTGTTAACAAAAATGCAACTATAAGGCCCTCTCTCTGTAGCAATGTTCCTATTACACAGGCCCAACCCATCTTGCCATCTGACTTCCCTCCATTTCCAGTAAATTTCTCAGTGTGTATAGGCATTCACCAAGCGCACGCATGCACATACACACACACAAGTTCTGTTCTACTGGCATTTTCCTCTAGGCTGAATCAGTTCAGGCCTAGCTAGGTCTGCCATTTCTCCCATCTTTCCCTCTTGTCTGTAAGTGAACATTCCACAAACAAACTAGGATCATTTTCAACTCAGAAGAGAAGACTGACTTATCCTATCCTGCCAATAATTTACTGAATCCATAGGGACAACTATCTTTTGGGAGACATAAAAGCTTCTTTGCCATAAGGCACAAATTTATAAGTTGCTAGCTTACATTCTCACCCCAAAGGCTCCCTAACCATTCCACAAATGATATGCAAGGACTGATTCACCCACCCGTAACACAAAGCCACCTTGGGGGTGGAAAGTGGCAGCTGCTTAACAGCCAGAGAGGCCATTTATGGATCCAAAACCCAAATAACACTGCAGGGGTACTGAAAAAAAGGATGTAATTACCCAAACTACAATCTGGTCAGGACACTGGGATTTAATGATTGTCCCATCACTTATAGCATTGGAAGATTTCTTGAGTTTTTCCAGACCCAATCTCAGCTGGGCAGCATATGGAAATGAACATATATTTAAACTCATTAAGCATTTGGGCCATCTCCTACTGGTGGCATGAGAATCAATGACCTGCTCACCTTGAAAACATCCCACCCATGGGATGTGAGGAAAGACCTCATGCAGATCAGGCACCAATTGTAACCCAAGGGAAGCAAGGAACAATAGTTTTCAGATTGGCAGTTTTTACAGCAACCAAGAAAACTCATTACTGAGAAACTTGGAAACCCAACTGGAAGGCTAACCCCCCACATAGACCTTATTTAATCAAGTTTCTGAGGGGATCTTTGGAATGTGAATTGGGAATGGAGAAAGAGACCTCTTTGCTTTCTTAACAGGCTAAATGTTTATAAGGCTTTCGACAATACAACTCAAGGAGGTAAAACCCACTCCATTTGTCACTTGATGTAACAGAGGAAAGTTCTCAACACTTCTTCCTATAACCAACAGTCAAATTCTGCTGGTGCTACAGACTTCAGACAAGATCCAATGAAAGTGGATCCTTGAAAAAGAAAATCAGAAATAGGCTGACCTAGAAATGCTACCATGATGAAAACAACATTAGAAGGAGAAGGCTGCTTTCCTTGGCATACTTTTTGAAAGTCCTAGTCACTCACCTTCCCAAAAGTGCACTGTTTTAGGTCATAATAAAGATCATCTGATTACCAAGAATAGCCTATGCTTTAACAGCAGTTGGGGAAAAGGCAAGGTGGCTAAAAGCAAGGGTTTGAATTCTAGCGCCTCTACTTATTAACTGTGAGAAGTTAGGCATTTAATTAACCTAAAGCTCAATTTCCTCATCCGGAAAATGGAGATAATATTTTTTTTCCCTGGAGTTGCTATGAGACTTAAATGAAGTAAGACATGTAAAATCCTTAGCATAGTATCTGGCATATGTAAGGACTCAATGATTGCTAACCGTATTTTTTCTCCTTTGACCTTTTTATCACATTCAAAGGAAGCTCTTTAGGGAAGAAAAAGGGGGGTGGGGGGGAGGGAGGAAGAGAGAGAGGGAGAGAGGGGGAGAGAGAGAGACAGAGAGAGAAAGAGAGAAAAGGAACAACTTGCAACTGGACATAATAAACAATTTTATGATTTTTGGGAAATGCATATTCATGGCAGCATTCAGGCACTGAGTCATTCCATCTCAGGAGACGTGGCTAACCTAGAAGGCCAGGATATTAATGCTGTGAAAATTTTTATTTTACCAGACACCAATTCTCCTTAACACTATGTACCTGTTGTGTTGGTCACGTTTTAAAACTGGGGGCAATCTACTTTTCATCCACAAAAGAGAATTACAAACTCAGGGAGCCTTCATGGGCTCACTCTAATAGGGTCCTGCCTCTATTTGATCTAAACCATACCAAACTTACCATTTTGCATTGCGCTTGCCTAGACTTTTTTTTTTTTTTGCCTCCTCTCTCTTTAGATGAAATGGCTAAAATGGAATGCATTATTTGAAATGAGGAAGAACTATTTACATTTACTACATGACATCTTTTCCATCACTTTCACTCAAGTCCAACACCTCATTTGCCTTCTTTGTGTTTAGCTGGGCGCCCCGCCTCTCTGGTGACCTCTGCACCTTTCTAGAAAGGTTTTCAACTTACCCCATTGGTCATGAGGTTGATTGTGGTAGTAACTAGAATGCTGTTCTTCCCAGCGCACACCCTCTCATACTAGTTTGCATAAAATTGCACCCGCTTTTGGTTTTGCTATGTTCATCCGGAATTCCTCATGTCCCTGTCAAAACCCTTCCTGCTCCATGGCCACCAGGCTTCCTTAATGGTTTCTGGTGAGTGGCTCCTATCAAAAGCTGCAAAGCCCAGATAAATTATGTCCACCAGCTTGTCCTTGCCTACTGTATTAATTCTTCTGGGGTTTCTGACAGGCTAGAGATGCATGCCTCACTCCAGAAATATGATTTTCTCCAATTCCCTGGCCATGCCCAATTTTTTAGGCTGACATTTCAGAGAGCCCTACTGGGCTGGGCCAGGGTTCAGTTTACATTTAGAGAAGCCAAGTCATTGCCTCAAAGTATCCTATATCCAGCAGAATGTTCTGAAAATATTCATTGCTGATGATGATGCTTTCCTATCACATATAATACAACTCTCTGTAACTATCTTCAGCATTTTTTCTCAGCCATTTTTCTTGCTGTTGTAATAAGACCCCAGAGGCTAATACATATGACAGAGATCAAAATGGCTACCATGCCAACCCTTCCAGTAAAACAGGTGTTGGTGATAAATTATTATTAGTAGCTCTACACATCATTCGTCAGTTCCTCCAAGACAATGAAAGCAATCAGCACCTGGGATTTATAACACATTAACGTTGCTCCATATACTCCAGTTCCTCTTTAAGTGTTCCTTTTTCACAGCCTCCCCTTCTTCCATATTCTTCTTTATAAGAATAAGCTCCAGATTTTGTTGCCCATCTCTTCGGACCTGGCTAGGAATCATATCAACCATCATTAAGTGGGGGGCGGCCGGTTGACTCAGCTGGTTAGAGCGCAGTGCTCATAACACCAAGGTTGCCGGTTTGATCCCCACATGGGCCACGGAGCTGAGCCCTCCACAACTAGATTGAAACAACTACTTGACTTGGAGCTGATGGGTCCTGGAAAAACACACTGTTCCCCAACTTTTTAAAAAAAATCATTAAGTGAAGATCCAGAAGTTCAGGAATGACTACTCTCCCTCCAGCTGTCCCCACTTCTCATAGCACTGCTACTTGTCAAGGGAAGAAAGTCAGGTTGCTTCAATGCAGCTCCTGACTTCTGGGTTCGGTAAAGCACTTCTAGTGTTCAGGACTCAGTATCAAATGCTCCCTATTCCTCCGAAGCTATCCCCAATGAGGCCCCTGGTCTTCCCTAAGTGCCCCCCACTTCCTTTTCTATGTATTCTTCTGCCTTTTGTGGGGAATCAAGTAGATGCAGAAACCCAAGTAGAAATCTCTGAGTTTTGTTTCATCTCAAAAACCTATAAATCTGTCCCAATTCAGGGGCAAAAAGAACTCCAGGGCTGGCCGAGTGGCGCGATGGTTAAGAGCTGGCTTGGGACACCAGAGGGCCCCGGTTCGGATCCCACATATGAGGGCCAGTCACAATGATGGTGCCAACTTGGGCCAGTGAAGCAACGTCCTCCACAACTAGACTGAAGAACAAAAGGACAGCAACTTGTCTGTTCCCCTTCCTCTAATTTCCCAGCGCTGTTCCCATCCCCCAATTCCCCAATAAAAATCTTAAAAAAAAAAAACTCCAGAATTAATACAGATAAGGTTCTGTCTTCAATTTCCATTAAAATCCAAAAGAGTTCCCAGACCGACAGTGATACTTATACATGTGGACTGCATTAAAGAAATCCAACATAGAATAGTCCAATCTTTCAAAACAGATGCATTAGGTCAGTGGTTCCCAATTATAGCTAATCATCATATTCAATAGAGGATCCCCCAAAAAAACCAACAGATTCTCAGGTCCCACCCTCAAGATTCTGATTCTTTGTGTTGAGAGTAAAGTCCAGAAATTTCTTATTCTTAAAACCTTCCCAGGTGGGTTTGAAAACGACTACATTAGGGATACTTATTCACTTTATTAGAAGTTGTACCACAGGATTCCTTTAAACAGGTATATCCTCTGCCCTATGCATCTAATACAGAATTTTTAAATTTTAGTTTATCAAAATTAATCTATATACTGTTAAGAACATGTCTTCTACATTAAGCAAAGTCCTCTAAGAGTGGCCACATTTAGGAAAATTACAGAAAGATAACTGTCCACTAAGGGGCCCACTTACCTCATATTTTCTGTAGTTCACCAGCAAAGCCAAGAGGACTACAGCATCATATCCATGCTCCCTGCGACTTGGGGGATGGGAGAGTATCTGTAACAAGAATCAGAACTGCATGAGTGCTAACTCCTAGTTCCTAGAAACGCAGACAGGGAAGATTTTAGGAGGTGATTTACCCAAAAGAGAAAAGGGTGACAAGGGAATTGACCAACCTGTAAAATTGCTTCAAATATGCTGTTGATCATTACATACTCCAAAATAGTGTTCTGGCTGATGTTATCTGTCACCTGGATGCAATAAAAGGTTTTTTTAAAGTCTATACCGAGATACTCTGATATTGTATACATCAGATATATAGATAGATAAATAGATAGATAGATCTCCTCCCCTAGCATCTAAGAGAAACAGAAATGTTAAAACATTCTACTACTTAAGTAGACCTTTCATAAGCTTGCCCAAAGCCACCAGAGCCTAAATAGGCAGACCCAGGAAATTAGCAAATGAGAACTCCCTAAATCTTTGAACTTCTCCTTGTTTCTCTCACACAAGCATTTGCTTAACAGTTTCTTGGGTTTCATTCCTCAAATGCACAGAAAGAAGTTTATGATCCAGCAGTCTTCAAGTGGTGGCCAGGAAAAGGAACCACCTGAAGTAAATGAACAATATCCCATCCTCCTCCCACTAGAAGGTACAGGCCAGCTTCATGCTGTAAAATCAAAGTCAGAACAAATAAAAATATTCAGAATCAAAAAATTGTTTCCAAATGAGACCTGGTGAGAAGGGCAGATCTGACAATCCAGAAGAAAGTAGTTGTCTAGAAGTGGTACCTCTAAAGTGACAAATATCACATATCCTGGAGGTTAAAATGCCAGCAGTTTCTCCAAAGAGCAACTTTCAGGAAGTGAAAGCCCATGCAACTAACTTCCTTCTTTTTTTTTTTTTTTTT